TTGTTTTTGCTTGAGGGTTTTAGGGTTTAGGGTTTAGGGTTTAGGGTTTAGGGTGATTTGCATGCAACGAGTGGCATCAGTAGGAGTGAAGGGTTTTGCAATTAAAAAGAGAAAAAAGAAAAAACAAAAAACACAAATTTCTTTTCAACTGTGTTTAATAATTTAGGGTTTAGGGTTTAGGGTTTAGGGTTTAGGGTTTAGGGTTTGTGGTTACTTTTGAGGGGACAAAGATACACCGGAGCGGCTGAGTTCGAGTTGAACGAGAAGCAAGGGTTTGTTGCAGGAGAGAGCAGCACCTGCTGCTGCTGCTGCTGCTGCTGCTGCTGCTGCTGCACCCCCGCTGCGCCCCCGCCCATCTCCTAGCTTTCTCCCACTCTGCTGCAGCCGCCGCTGCTGCTGCTGCTTCCGCTGCTGCTGCTGCTGCTGCTGCTGCTGCTGCTTCGATCCATCGCCGTCCTTTGCCATCTTCTCAAACGATGCCTGAACCACAAACCCTAAACCCTAAACCCTAAACCCTAAACCCTAAACCCTGAATTCTGACCCCTAAATTCTCCGCGTGAAGCTCAAAGTGCTAAATCCTAACCTGTAAACCCTAACCCCCTAAACACTAACCCTCTAAACCCTAAACCCTAAACCCTAAACCCTTATTTTATATCTTACAAGCCCATCGATGAGTCTTTGTGTTGCGTTTCTGGCGAACTCCATCAAAGCAGATTCAAACACATATTGACAAACCCTAATAAACCTCACTAACCTTCTACACTGCATGCGTTTTGTTGCTTTCTCTGTATATGAAACAGAGAGGGCCCCCGGGGGGCCCCCCCGGTGAGAACCCCGGGGCCCCTGTACTAAACCCCCGTGAAACCCTCGACGATCGAATGCACGAACTGCACACAAACCCTAAACCCTAAACCCTAAACCCTAAACCCTAGAACATAAACCCTGTTATACTTGCAAAGAAAAAACAAACTGCACTCTCTATTAAAATGATATACACACGAGTAGTTCTATGGGTTTAGATCCACATATTAGGGTTTAGGGTTTAGGGTTTAGGGTTTAGGGTTTAGGGTTTGCCTGGTTGCTGCAACTCATCGCCCCTCTGGTTTCTCGCGAAACCGCTGCTTTGAAGAAAATCCTGCAGAGAGTTTGCGCACGCCTTTTGAATCTGAACAAACCACCACAAACCCTAAACCCTAAACCCTAAACCCTAAACCCTAAACCCTAAACCCTAAACCCTGAACCTTCTAGATATATCTGCTTCCTTATTCTTTAAAACTGCAACCGCATATACAAACCCTTGGCATAAACAATTCAACTCCAAACCCTAAACCCTAAACCCTCTCCCCGATAAACCCTAAACCCTAAACCCTGAACCTTCCTCCCCCAAAACCCTAAACCCTAAACCCTCTCCCCCTCTAACCCTTCCTTCCCTAAACCCTTAACCCTAAACCCTAAACCCTCCCCCCCTGAACCCCTAAACCCTAAACCCTAAACCCTAAACCCTCCCCCCCCGGCCCCCTAAACCCTCTTCCCCCCTACCCCCTAAACCCTAAACCCTAAACCCTAAACCCTAAACCCTAGTTCCTAGTACCTCAGCAACAACAGCAGCCCATATTCTTTGCAATGCAGCCTGAAACTGTTGTTGTTTAGACTTTTGCATTTCTTCGAGTTGCTGTATATACACCAGAGAATCATTGAGGGGCGGCAACAAATCCCAAAAAGTTATTTTCATCACCAATGAACGAACCACACATAAAGAAGAACCCAATATACCATTCAAAAAAAATAAATTCTTCTCCAGCATCTCCGCGCATGTTCTGAGGATATACACAATATATATTTATATGTTTATATATATATATATATATATATATATATATATATATATATATATATATATATAT